TTTATTGTTTAAGCAAGCAGTGCAAATGTTAGTTAGGCGAAAGATAAATGTTTGCTCTCCAGTGTCTATCAAAACTACAATTTGGGGAATAAATAAACACAGCTGATTTAATCATAAAACCAATCAAATTAATATACTAATTACACTAATTCACGATCAATTTAAAAAATTTGGAAAATGATGGTTCACCCGTTCATTCATTTTTTATCAGTCTAACAAATGCACCTCATTTTCAAAATCATAATCTTAGAGACTCTGTTATCAATCATTAAAAAATTATGACCTGGCTGTTATTTTACAGGGAGAAAACTCGGCGTCTATTGGCCAGAGAGAGAAGTCGGTGTTAAGAATTCTTATCGCGGAATCAATCAACAAAGTGAGCGAACTTCTGTTTCGCGCATGTTGCTTCCTCATCATAAAAACTTGCTGTTTGGACCTCGGAGCTTCATATTTCAGGAGATAGTACTGATACATAAATATACACATACATATATATGTATGTATGTATTAAGGGGAAAAAAAACTGCTTTGTTAAGGCTGTGTTTGTGAAATTAAAAAGCAAAGCATACTGTTCACTTTGTAATTTGCTGCGTCTGTATGGGCACGGCCGAGCTTCTTTTCCATCTGATGGATGCCATATCCCTTATTTCCGCGTTAGCCTTTTGGGTTTGCCAATCAGAAACCAGCAACTGCCCACGCTCCTCTCTCTCCTGCATCATTATATCCATCCCGTTACTCAATCATCATTAGCTGTTCATAACTACAATTAATTTGTTAAATGTTAATCGCCTTCACATATCACTCTGCAGCTCCCAAAGTCTTTTCTCTCAACAACTCTCCTTCCTTTCTCTACCAACCACTTTAAACTGACCCTCTCTTTATCCACCCTCACCAATTCACTGTGCCATTAGACTTTGAGGCACAAGTAGTCCGAGGGGAAAATGACCACTCTCTGTGAACAGTTCGGAATCTCTCATGAATTTAAGAATCCATACGCAAAATTTCCATCCTCGTAAGCACTCATGTTTCCTTTTTTTTCTTTTGATCTAAAGTCCCCCCACGATTAGTAACTTCTGAAATTTAAAAACTAGATGACTACATCATTAATGGACGAAGAATGAAAAGGATTCTCAGAATTACTTCCTCAGTTAAAAGATGGCTTTAGGCCAGTAAATGTTTCACAAGACATTAGCTTTCTGTTATAAGAAAGCTTTTTAATGATCATTTCTGAATCACCGATAGAAAACAATGGAGTTTTTTTTCAATGGGTCCGAAATTACCTGCTGCTGTTTCTGCTGCTGCCGCTGCTACTGCTGCCTGAGCTTTTAGTGCTTCCGCTGTTGATACTGGTTGCGCCACTTTCACTATCCCCGGAAGCTGCTGAAGGGCTCTTCTTCCACCACTCCTTATCCACAATACCTTTCAAAGATCCTTCAGATATCGATGGTCTCAGAGTCGCCTTTGAACCTTCGTTTCCCGATGACTCGCTCTTCTTCTTCTTCTTCTTCGTCGTCGATCCCAGAGATGGAGGAAACATCATCATCTTCAAATAGAACCCTCCACTCTGAATCTTTCCACTTCTCATCGCCGCCGCCTTCTGATCAACCTTCTACCACTGCTACTCCCACTTCCTTCCCTCCTGTAGGCGTTTTTGTTGATTAAATTCTTCTCTTCTTTCTCATTTTCTTCACCGGCTTGAAGCGTGGGCTTCTCCACCAGATCTTTCAGGGTGAGCTCGTAGGTTGACTCGGGCATATTCCGAACCATTTCCATGAGCTCCCTTTGGCCTCTGGCAATGGCTTGTGTTCTTGACGAAGGCGACAGGCTTTGATAGTAGTTTTTGTCAAATTGTGGGCTTCTGGTGGGCTCGTCTTCCACAAAGGCGGCGAACAAATACCAGAGTCGTTGTCGTCGTCATCCACTTGTTTTGAAGCCCAGAAACCAGAGCTCCTTCTATCTTCCCATCTGCCATAACCATGGATACTACTTCCGGTTCTGTTCGGTAACTGACTAGAATTTGCGGGTTGATGTCTTGCTGGATCAAGCATGGCTGTTTCTGTTTTTTCTCCCGGAAATTTTGGACCAGAGAAAGAATAAAAATAAAAAGTGTGTTGTGCGTGGTTCTGTCTAGAAACCAGAGGAGGAGAGTAATAAAATGAATATCTTCACCGGCGTAAGCCTTAAAAGTGATCAATACTGATAATTTCTTGTTAACTAAGATTTTAATAAGCAAATGATTGAGGTCGAGGATATGAGGCTCCTAAAAGTCAAGGAAGTCTAGACGGTGGCTGTTAGCCCTGTATTTCTTTTTTCCCCTTTCCTGGTCCTTCAACGTTTCCTGTCTTCAAGTTCAAAATATTTCCACCTCAAATGTTCACACTTGGACATAAATATATTTCATATATTTGTTGAAGCCTTATAAGAATCAAAAGGTTCAGATAATGGAGAGGGGCACCAGGAATGATTAGAAGGGCATCAAAAGCCCCACGTCAGGTGCCGCACCAAGTGGCGAGAAGTGGATCATAAAGCCATCATTCTCGTCTTTGCCTTTCATTTATTATCATTGTGTTGATCATAACTAATCATATTGGATGTCCCCCCAAGCAACCAGCACATCCCATGATACTGATGTGGTTGTTGGGAATTACTAATTTAATACAAAATGAGTGTTTTTTTCAATCCTCAATTTTGAGCTGTAGAGTAACCAAGAAGCTCTAAAGCCTATACAAAGTGGCACACTGATCCATAGGGGTAGTTTTGGTTGGTAAATGTGACAATCAGTCTCTCGCAGTCCCAGTTAATTGTGCTCCAATCCTTGACAAACTTGGCCTTAAAATACAAAATCAAACGACGCGTTTGAGGGTCCTTTGCTTCTAAAAAAACACCATTTGGGTGCTTCTCAATGGATCTTGAAGTCAGCTTTAAGTTTTGCATTCTTAAATAAATGACTAACAGCATTAGTTAAGGTGCTGTCATCGGCGTAATATTTTGAGGGAGGCGGCCGGATTATTGAGCAACAAATATTGTGAAACAGAGCATACTTTATAAGATCTGTGCCTCTCCGAGCAACTGCTGTACGCATAATGAAAAGTAGAATGAAAAAGAGTAGGAGTGAGAGAAGAGCCAAAGAGGGAAGGCAGAAGGCACTAATTAATTAATAGCGGTAATTAGTTGAGTGGGGTTCCATTACTACTCGTGATGCTTTGATTTTCCACCTCAGCAGTACCCATCAAATCACGTTGATTCTGTCCTACTCAACATCCCCGTCAAAATCAAACGCTCTTGATACGTTAGGCACTTGTACTCATAGTTATAGCCATCTACTTTTGTGGTTATGCTTGGTGCTTGATTCATGTAATACTCTAACGAGTAACTGCACTGTGCTGAGGATTGAAATGCAAGTTTTGTTTTGTTTTGCAAATTTCCTCCTTGCTTTCTAGAAGGGGGTAGCGTGAACATTCCAACCAGACTTCTTAATGGAACCGGAAAGAGAAGATCTTTAACACGCTTGCTTTGGCAAGTCATGGAAAACAAATTGCTGTCCACAAATATGATACCCAACAAACAGTTGTAGAAAGTCATGCACGGCCTCGATGCTTTAAACCCCAAGTGCACAAAGTCAGCGTTGTCTTCAAAATTTCTCACGTCAGATTAAGAAAATTATACTGCCCACGCGTTGCACAATTATGCCCTCACGCATACCTCCAACCGCTGCTTTGTCTGCATCTCATTTCTCATCATAAATGCCGGGAACGACATTTGTTGCTTCCCCTTACAAAACTAGATTTGTTAGCTTGATTATTTTTTTCCCCGCTTTAATTTTATTCTTCATTTTATTTTTTAAGTGCATATAAAATTGCATAAAAAAATCATTAGTAAAATTACACCACTAAAAAATTAGGTGATAGGTGCATCTGAGAAATAAGGTCATATATAAAATTACACTTTTAATCTTCTTTAAAATAAAGAATAATATTTTTCCAGCTTAACTTTGGGTTATGGTGTCAGTTTCTTTATTCTTAATTTAATCAATTTCCGTGAGATCTCAGCATCGGTAACATTAAGATATATTATATTCAGCTAACATTCATTAACAAAATTTTATTAAAAAATTAATAAAAATATTTATTAACATCAGTATCATCTTTCGCCGACTACCTATACCAATACATAAAGAGTGGGACTCTGGACTCACTTAGTTGTGCAAATATTAAATAAGATAGCAATCAAACAAATATTAAATAAGATCAATCAAACAAATATTAAATAAGATATTTATTCACAAAAAATAAATAAGATATTTCACTTCTTCTATTTAATTTACCGAGCCCATCAGATTTTTCTTGTCAATTTCTACTTTTAAAATCTTATACAGTAAATATCATTAAAAACAAAATATTTTACTTCAAATAAATTTTGAAAATAATATTGTGTTCCCTCGCCGCACCTAGAAGCGCCCGATTAAGATTAACCATCTACTGTCTATTCCCGCTTGCGGACGCGACGATGACAGTGGGAACGGTGCCCACAAACACTGATCTGCTACAGAATATGATCTATCTTCCTAGTATTCGAAACCTATGAGCAACGGAGTTGCAACAATAGAAATTCCAGGAATGTCCCTTCAAGAATGTAATGCATTATGTTTTATCTGAAGTTCGGCGTTTAATCGCCTTCCGTCTCATAGCATATGCATGTACTCATATTTAAAGCAAGGACAAAGTCCTCAAAATTCAGTCTCTTGGTTTTCTGCTCTTTTAGACTATGCTTATCCGACAAGTCTCTAAAATTTAACAAAGTTATCCATGCCCAGCTGATAAAATTGGGTTTCCATGTCTACACCTATTTGGGTAATCGCTGTCTCGATCTATACTCCGAGTTTGGTGGGGTAAGTGATGTCTTGAAAACGTTTGGTGATATTAGTTATAAGAACTCTACATCCTGGAATGTCTGCTTAAAGGGGTTGCTTCGAAGTGGTCATCTTGAGAAGGCCAGCCGTTTGTTTGATGAAATGCCTGTGAGAGATGTGGTCAGTTGGAACACGATGATTTCAGGTTATTCTTCTCATGGGTTTGGTGATCAAGCTTTTCAAATTTTCCTTGAGAATGCAAAATATTGGCACGAGGCCAAGTGTATTCACTTACACTATCATGGTGTCACTTGTGTCAAGTCCCTGTCAGGGTAAGCAAATTCATGGAAGGTTGATCAGAAGTGGGATGAATTTCTCAAATTTGGTACTTGGGAATTCTTTAATAAATATGTACGGGAATTTTGGTCTTGTTGATTATTCTTTTGGTGTGATTTCGACCATGAAGCAGTTGGATATTATATCTTGGAATTCTTTGATCTGGGCCTGCCATAATGCAGGACATCAAGAACTGGCATTAGAGCAGTTCCATCGTATGAGAAGCAAAGAGTTGTCCCCTGACGAGTTTACGTCTTCAATACTGATTAGTGTGTGTTCTAACCTGCAAGATTTAGAACAGGGTAAGCAAATTTTTGCTTTCTGTTTCAAGGTGGGATTCGTTTGTAATAGCATTGTATCAAGTGCAGCTATTGACCTCTTTTCCAAATACAACAGATTGGAGGATTCCGTACAGCTTTTTAGAGAACAATATCAATGGGACCCAGCTCTATGCAGTTCCATGATTTCAAGCTATGCTAGACATGGTTTAGGAGAAGAGGCATTAGGACTTTTTGTGCTGACCTTGAGGAAGGATCTTCGGCCTACTGAATACATGGTTAGTTGTCTTCTGAGTTGTCTTTCCAGTATGTTACAAGTAGAACTGGGCAATCAAATCCATTCTTTGGTTCTGAAACTAGGTTTTGAGTCAGATGCAATAGTTTCCAATTCACTTGTTGAAATGTATGCAAAATTGGGATTTATTTATGATGCCTTGGATATCTTCAATGAAATAAGAAGAAGAGATTTGATATCCTGGAACACCATATTGATGGGTCTAACCTACAATGGTAAAGTGTCTTTGGCTATGGACCTTTTCAACGAATTAATTAGCGAGGGTATACCCCCAGATCGAATAACTCTAGCTGCAATCTTACTTGCATGCAACTATGGAAGTTTGGTTGATGAAGGAATTCAAATATTATGCTCCATGGAGAAGGAATATGGGGTTAAACCAGGGGAACAACATTATGCTATTGCGGTGGAGTTGTTGTGTCGTGCTGGTAGGCTGAAGGAGGCTATTGATATTATTGAAACAATGCCATACAGAACTGCTCTTATTTGGAAGTCAATCCTCTCTACATGCACAATACATGAAGACCTGGTATTTACTGAAAGGGTAGCAAAGAAAATAATGGAGATGGAACCACAATCATCCTTACCTTACTTGGTCTTGGCTCAGGTATATCAAATGAGGGGCAAGTGGGAGAGCATGGTTCGAGTGAGAAAGGCAGTGGAACATAAAGGCGCCAAGGAGTTCGCAGGATGCAGTTTTATTGGGATAAAAAATCACGTGTTCTCTTTTGAGGCAAATAAATTACATCAGTATGGAGGGAAAGATCTTTATCTTGTATTAGAGTTACTGCAGTGGGAGATGGAAACTGAAGGTTATGCCTGAAAAATGTTTTGATAAAAGAAAGTAAAAGTTGTTGCTATCGCGATGAATATTGATGGTGGGCTGGAAAAGAGTGATCACCTGAGATTGTTTGTTGCTCGGTAATGGTTGAGACAGAGAAGTTATAATATGCGTGGCTGGTGCAGTTAGATAAAATCCCTTCACATTATGATCTCAGGACGTCATTTACTGGTATCTAGACCGAAAAATCAAGCGTTGAAGCTATACGCTATACAGGATACATGGTTTACTGCTCTTAAATTCAGTAAAAGATTTTCTAAATTAGGCCAATCTTTGATTAGTCTAGTGCCTGTGACTTGCGAGTTTGCACTGGCAACCTGGTTACTGGGAAAGTGGAGAACCTTAACAAAAGCCGGCCTTCTCAATCAAAAGCTCGTCATCCATTACATGTGCTTCATTTATAGTGCCATTTGCTGAATGTGGCGACACACCTCGGGCATTACTGGGTTGCAAATCATCTACATTTTGCTCCTCAGATCACGAAACCGCCTAAGCTAAGGCACAGTTTGACATCAAATCAGCGCGCACAAAGACGAGGACAGTCAAGTAGCCATATTAATTTCTTCATTAAGTCTGTCTTTTACAGGCTTTTTTATTTTTTACTTTTTCAATCATTACTTGGGGTTGAAAATGGCTAGCCAGAGAGTTCATTATTAAGCTCTATCGGGCTTACGTGTCATTGAGGACAAACAAAACAGATTTGAAAATCTATGATCGATCTCGATGCTTATGTAATAGTTTTAATACCCTCTTCAGGGGACACTAAGATTGTTTACCGTTCAGTTTGGTGCTGAGTTCGAAAGGAAGAACGAGCCGTTGTGCCGTTTCAGAACACGTGCTGCTAAAAGAAAATGGAGAGTGAACTAAATCTCTGTTAGAGTTGTTTCTTTTTCGTGCCAACTCACCAACCGGATGGTTTGTTCTGGTCGCGCGTGTTGCGAATGGACAGATTTTGGATTCAATTGTAATGGTCTAGGACGCTTGAAATCTAAAGTCTTTAGCGTGACTTAAACTTGTCATAGCATATTTTTAGGTTTTTCTTCCCTGCCTACTCATATTTTGCCCATACATAAATATTATATATTAACTTTATTTAAATATTATATCTCAATGATAATTCAATACATTATGTACTTGTTTAGAGTTGCTTACTATAAGCATATTTGTGTAAATTGAGATCAAATTTTCTTACATTCTTATTATATTTTGTAAGTTATAATTGAAAAGTTACTTTAAAACTCCAAATGACCAATTGCAATTTAAACTAGTCGTAATTTTATTTTCAAACTACAATCTTTTTACTCTGTAATAGAAGTTTTGACATACTTCTCAAATTTAGAAAACGCATTATATGTGTGTACGCGCTAATGGTGGCTAACTTATCAATTGATTTGATTTGATTTTCGGCTTTTTTTAATTACATAAATATTAAAATCTTGCGACGTCCGTAAAGTATAACGGTAGGAATAATGTGCATGATATTCCCAACATGTCCTATCAGAATTTAGGGTGTCAATTCATTAAATTACGTAAATATTTCAAGATTCGGTTGAACTTATTCCCGTTTGTTTGTTTTTTTTTTTTTTTGGCTATATTTTTTAATACATTTTCTTGATGAAAATTCAGTTCAGACTTCAGACGGCTGTGTGGCATTTAAGGCGGCATCACAGAAACAGAGAGGCGTGAATGGGAGCTTGCGCGGGAGTAACGGTTAATTGAAAATGATTAGTTTTAGTGTTGACAATTGGAAAATAAGAGAATCTAGGATCTCAGGAGGCATGTCAGGTCTCGAAACCTCTTCGTCGTCAAGTTCCCCATACTCTTCCTATTATCACTGTTGAAGACGGCAAATCTCCTGCCATTTTTTTTTTTTCCTTTTAGAGAATATCCACAGAATATTATTCTTGTATTGGTCGAACCTTTGTCGTCGGTATAGGAATTCGGATAGGGAAGAGGAAGCTTCTTTGCAATTCCACAACACCTCAACTGGATCAAAACTACAAGCTTCAGACTTGGTCCTCTCATCAAAGGCGTGAAATTAAAATAATTTGGAGCAAAAACATGTTTTTTCTTTGAAGACTCATTTGTTGGTTCTCTCAATGGATAGCCCTCCTCCAACGTCTCATGTCATCCTCGCATGTGATGCTACTAAAGATAGCAGTGAGCATGAGATCAAGTCCATTCTTGATCACGTACGAAGTAGCAGTGGCATTCTATATGCAGGTTACAAATTGTTAGTGCTCGGCGTCTTGCATAAAGTGCCACACCCCAGTAAGTAATACACGAATTGTGCCAATGGATATCCTTGAGGGTACTACCGATGCCGTTGCAATCTTTTAATTCTGCTCGGTCCCTTTTTTTGCCCCGTCTTGGCTGACAACTTTTATTTCACATGCACACTAATTACTGCCCTGCCAAAAGAATTTGTAATGTTTATGCCGGATTGTATAGATAAGATGTTTCAGCATTTTGATTCTGTGCTATGACGAGTTGAAGACTCTATATGTGTGTTGCATTTTCCAGAAATTTATCAAGATTCCATGGTTATCTGATTGGTTCTGATAAAGCAAAATTTTATTATGTAAGGATAAGTTTTGATACTTATGAGTGCGACTTGACATTAAGATTTTATTCTATCATTATTAACAAGAAACCATCATGATTTTTTTCTCGCTTGTTTTCTTTTTACAGTTTATGATCTTTGTGAGTATAAGTACTGAAGAAAGGTCACTTGCATAATTTTTTCTTTAGCTTGTGGTCCACTCACCATGTCACTCTTCTGTTGCCTTTTTTGGGATTAACAGTGGGGTACCAGACATTACCGTGCCCTGAGTCTTTTGGTGGCACGAATTTTCGTGCAATGGATGAAGTGGTTGGCAAGAAACTTGATTCATATGCAAATATGCTTTTGCCGATATATGAAGATTGGGAAAATGCAGGGGTACTAAACTTTAATGTGTTATTTTCCTCATAATTACTACATGTTTAATTACATTCTTATGTTAGAATCTAAGTTTGTTTCTTTATTCTTTTAAACTTATCCCCAGATCAGCATCGAAGTCAAAGTCACTGCAGGTTTTCCGATCAGACAGGTTATATTGCAGGAGGTTGCATGCTATAATGCAGCTTGGATTGTACTTGATAGGTATTACTTTCTCTACACTCGAAAATGACACTTATACTTTGCCAGATGAGACCTATGATTGACTACAGAGGACATTGCCTCTTTCTTTTGGAGAATGTTTATGGTTTCTGAAATTGCTTGTTAATTGTGTTTAGGCATAACGCGGCAGCGGGCATATTTAGCAGTCACCAATTGCTCTGTGAGAAAACTAATGCCTTTTCCGTTATGGAAACTCCACAGAAATGACCTTGATGGCAATCCTTACAAAGAATGCATATCAACACTTAATTAAGCTATCGTATAACTTTGTAGACAAAACGAAACGGCGAAAATTATTGGTTTCTGTTATAGTCTTCAGTAGTCAGTTATATGGAAGCTGTTCCCTGCGGAGCTTCATAACACCTTTTTCCTTTAATATTTCTAAAATTCTTTGTTCAATATGTTAGTTCCCAGAGAAGATGATTTTGTACAAGCCTGAAATCGCATCCGTCTCTTCCAAAACTGTGGAAATAGATAAATTCTGGCTCATAACATCATCTTTATCAAAAACTACAGTAACAAGCCTCAATCTCACATTTGTGGGGTGAGCTGGATGGACTCTGAATAATCATAAGCTATCCCTAAGATACTCTGTTGCGCTGGTTGTTTCTTGTACTGATTTCAGGTGTAACTGGAAAATTGAAACAGGCACCTTCGACGGGACTTGAGATTCCTTAACAAGATACCATGCAAAGTTGCATTGATTAAAGATGACTTGTTTGTGGAAATCTGGAGATCTCATCAATCACTTGAAACAGATGTCACAGAAAACAAGCTTGCTTATTCTTTGTCTAAATTTGTTTCTCTATCGGATTGTCAAAGTGTTGCAGACATCGGGCATTCTGTTTCCTCTTTCAAAAGCTGTCCCTCATCCATGGTTTCTTCTGACAACACAGGGACAGTTAGCAGTGGTACAAAGCACTCATTTGCATCACGTGAACAATTCTTCTCATCAGATCCTGGGTCGTCAGCTAAATCAGGTTTGGAGCCTGTCTAACATTTTTTATCTTGTCATATCATTTATATGCTTTCTGTGCATAAGCATTTCTTGCAGCAGTACCATCTACGATTCACTATGTTGGCAACTGAACCTTTATTACAGACTTTTCTGGGATGATTGAGCTCATAATACAAAATGACCTTCCTGTTCTTTCTTCTTTGAGCCACTACTTAAAACTATACAAGACAAAATGATCGAACTTCAGATTGAGATGAATAACAATCCAATCGTTTGCCAGGTCCCCTTACTTCTCAGATTGTCCAAAAGCAAAACAAATATGGCTTTATATCAAAACCTTCAGATGCACCAATTCTTTGTGCTGGCTGTGGGATGAGGACTGAATTATATACTAAGGAGTCGACGAGGTTCAGCTATTCTGATATACAGGTTGCAACAAATGATTTTTCAAAGGATAACTTACTGGGTGAAGGTGGCTATGGTCACGTATACAAGGGTACTCTCGGAGATGGACAGCAAATTGCTGCAAAGGTAAGAAAAGAAGAAAGTACCCAGGGTTTTTCTGAATTTCATTCTGAGGTTTATGTCTTAAGTTTTGCTCGACACAAGAATATAGTGATGCTGCTGGGGTACTGTTGCAAAGAAAGGCAAAATATTTTGGTATATGAATATATTTGCAACAAGTCGCTTTACTGGCATTTATTTGGTGAGTATGTAGGTGTTTGTTGGCTGTAACGTTTGTCTTTCTAACCCTTGCACGACTGTATCTCCACTTGAAGATTTATAACCTGAGAACCAAGAAAACAATTTTGCAGATAAAGATGCGACAGTTCTTGAGTGGCCCCAAAGATATGCTATTGCTATTGGAACTGCAAAAGGATTGCGCTTTCTCCATGAAGAATGCCGTGGGAGCCC